GCCGTGAACTGTCTGGCAAGAAGACTTCACCGCCATTTCAAACCCCAGAACCAGAACCCCCACCAGTATCACGTACCACCACCCCACCACCAATGTCACATGACTGCATGGCGGGATTGCCTACCTACTGCTTTGCAGGCGCTACATGCACAAAACCTTATACAACGTGCCCTGGCAAGCACAAAACAAATTCCGTAAAGAACGAGCAGATTAATTATGTAGCAAATTCATTTGGTACACCTTGCAACTTGTTTTACAATGAGAGGAGACACTCTAGAAGCCCGGCCAACTTCATCATGATTGAAGGTATTCTCCACAATTTTATAGTCATGTGAGGATTGACTGGAACTGGCCTTAAATAAAAAATGTTGTCAGTAAGTCTGACAAAGAATAGGACAATACAATAACATACCTTAGGTTCAGTCCTTTTTGTTCTCCTAACAGTGAGAGGAGGCACTCCTTTGTGTTCCTTCTGTTCAGGTGTTTTTGAATCCAAGTCTTTTACAGGTAGAGTAGGAGTGGCATTTGACTTTTTCAATGTCTGAGGGGAAGAGCAACAAACCAGGTAATAGTGAGCAGCAGTTTCTGTACAACATTTTCCAAATTTTATAGAAATTTTAAGAAAACTTACATCAGGTTCTGTATCTTTTTTTGAGTAAAATAGGATATAGGCTCCCTTTTGAACATCCAGATCATCAAATGACCCTGGAACAACCTGCGAAAGAGATCTGTCAGCATACAGATATCTGTACGCTGACTCTATATAGCATTCTTGAAAGCCGGATATCTAAAGACAACTACATACCTTTGCGTCATTGAAACAATATGTTACACCAGGTGGGCAGTTTGAAATTGTTTTGTAGTGGCCTACATCAACAGATACGCCAAGGTGGACGATAGCATTATTTAATATATATTGACCACCTTGAGGTAATTGAACTTCTTTATCAAGGTGAAATGGATCTTCATTTTTCTGAAGCGTTTTTTGATCAAACCTGAAAATATTTCAAAAGAAATGAGTAACAACATTAATAAAACTACTAATCATATTAAACACAAAAAATTAAATACACATATCTCAGGATTTGTACAACCAAAACATGTGGGCTTTCATACACATTGTATTTTCTCTTACATGTGGCTTGTACCTTGCAGCCCCTGCATTTTAAGGGAATTCCATCCTGCACATTAAAATAATTGAATAGATGATCCTGCACCACACACTTCACGTTTGGTTGTGGGGTAATTTCCAAATGGCAAAATGGAGCATAAGTATCTCCAACAAAGCCACAGTTCAAGCATGTGCCTTAAATTAAAAAGTATCATTGTTCACTTGCATGTAGCTTTTAAAATGAAGAGATTACAAAGCATATATATGTATGTGTATACTCACAAGATGTTTTCAACCATCCCAGAAATATTCTGTTCATAGGTGTGGTCAGTTTTGATACATAATCCAGCCTGAAATGAAAGTTAGCATTTAGAGTGACAAGTTGACTCAAATTATGAATGACAAAAACAGAAATCGGGTCCACACTTACTTCATTTGCTGAAACATGTGTAAAAATTCATTGTCTAGGCAATCCAGAAGACTGATAAGAAATTCTTGGCAGTCCTCTTGCTTCCCATTCATGAGCCTACCTTTCAAATGAACTGAAAAAGAATGCAATAAAAAATAAAAAAATAAAGTAGTTGTGATAATATGTAATACCAAGCCAATACCTCTCAGTACAGCCATTAATCCTGCAGGTCGGAAACTGCCCCTACTTCTTATCATCTCTATTAATATCCGGAAGATGCAGCAGGAAAGGCATAGTGATCTCCTGCAATCCCTCCTGTGAGCCTTCTCGGCTAATACAAACCACCTCAACACAGCAGGTAAATGAAACAAGGCCTGCAGGAAGTTATTGCATAAATCTTTAGTGTTTGATGCAACTTCCTGTTTCAAGCCAGCCTGGTATAAGGGACATCTTACCTGAAGGGTACTATTAATGAAGCAACTATTGCCCAGGTTTTGAAGCCCACACAATGCGTGAGGTACACCTTGCCATTTCCAAGCTTCATTTCCAAGAGGTGGGCACAATGAAATTTTGGGCTTTGGCGGAGGAGTGTCATTTTGCCACTGTGAGATAGGAATAATTATTACAGTCATATATCCAATTCAAATTACTAGAAGTAAGCATTTTTTACCGTCGAAACTTCATGAACGTCCCACTTTGATGTGGAAGTCACCGGTTCTTTCTTGGTTCTTTTAGAGGGTGTTTCCTAAAAATAAAAATTATTCGTTTACAGATTTAAAAAAATAGTTAAAGTGGATACTGAACATAGAAAAATATAAACATACAAAGACAACCCAATCCCTCTCTGCCTTTGATCTAGATTGATCGGATGGTACAACCAAGTGCTCAGCATTCAGAGCAGAAATCTGTAACAGAATAGAAAAATATGACACTTGGTAGTGATACATCTCACAATCAACTAGTGAACTTTCAACATCAAATCACCTCCATGACGTATCACATATCTCAGCCAACAGTTGTCAGAAACAAAAGAAAAATTGTGGAATGGTTTGAAGAATAAGTACTTCATAAATAGATATATCGACAGAAGTTACTAATCAAACTTACTTATTTAATAAAATAGACAACAACTTTCAGCAGACTTCTTGGATCAACGAAACCGACGAAATCTTCGTGCCTAACCTGAAATTTGTTATTACATTATGCGTTAAGCGACTGCTGTAAATGTGTATAATTGGCAAACTTTCCTAACATTCTTAAATCCTACAGACAAGTTGATTTTTCACTCCGTACACTAACATCAGAATATTTATAATAGTTTATCTTTGAATGACAGCACCTGACATCACTTCTCATAGTGCTTTCCACCTCAAATATAGCGTCAACCAACTTTTAAATGTACTAATTTGAGCCATTTAACATTCCATCTCACCAAAAATACTAAATATCTGATGTAAAAGTAGGTAATAGTGTTAAAACCGGCTTTTCGGTGCGCGATCGGCATCTGTTTGTTTGTTTACGCTCCCCGAGCCGCGGCGACCGAGTTACGGCAACGGCCGCTAGAGCGCGCACTACTGGTTCCGGTCTGGGGAGTCTTTGTGTTCTTCTTCCCGATCGGGTGGAATGGTCTATTGGTTGCGTGTCTTAGCGGCGCTGTTTTGGCTATTCTGCTCTCGGTGCGCGCCCCTGGGACCCAGGCAGCCCGCGGCGCATAGTAGCGCCGCCTTTGTTAGGCCGGAGTTATGCCCCTTTGCTCAGGATGCGAACTTGGTTTGCAATTTTTCATACTTTTCGATTTTAGTTTTATTAAGTGAATTTCCAAAATTGTAATTGCGTTGCGAGGATAGTAAATATTAATATTGTCCGATTGAGTTGCGATTTTTTGCATTGTATTGTACGTGCCAAATGTCCACTTTTCCGCACCCCGCCGAATCCGCGCGGAAGAAAACCCTGCTTTCAATACACCCTAATGTGCAGCTAGGGTTGCGAAATCACCAGTAACAATTAATGTTACCGTAAATTACGGTAAAATTGGTAATTAACCGGAAATTATGAAAAAATCGGAGACGTTTCATTTCCAGTAGAAAAATTGGGAATGTACTATTTAATGGCGATCGATATTAGTGTGTGCTGCTTAAACAGTGGCGGAATAGCTGGTATTAGCTATATGTATTAGAATATTTGTGCATTTTTATCTTGTTTTCATAAACATCAGTTGTATGTAGAGTTACGAAAAGTACACCAATAAAAATCGTTTTCTAAATCTATGCCTTTTAAACTTAAGAATAATGACGCATTTGCCATCAGGTCTCTTAAAAATGACTAAACACTAGAACCGCTGACATTTTAGGG